TTCCCCCCCCCCCCCCCCCCCACCCCTCCATTTTGTTAAGCATAGAATCGAGCGTACTCCTGTTCTGAATAAAAGGATGAGGCACTGTTCACATCCCCTTGGTAGTACATATTGCAGTGAGTGAGCTTTGATGATGGCGACTTTGGTGTTTCAGACATGGTTTATGAGTCTTTGGTCGCTGACTCCCATTTTCTACGCCTGAATGAAAACGGAGATTTAAGCACCACTGACGGCGGAAATAAAGTGTCTGGAGGGAGTGGCTTTTTTTCTTCCAGACGTCTGAAGAAAGAATTCTTTTTGCAAAGACGGGGGAGTGGTGCAGAAGAAACGAGAGGGGGTATCTGTGATGACAATTCTTAGCCTACTTCCCATTATACCAGAAACTGTAACACTGATTCCTAAGCCCTAACCACCCAACCTCTTTTCCATAGTTAGACAAGACGGGTGATAATTATTCAAAAATCAAATTTCCCGACTGGTGGGTGAAACGCACCATATGGTGAATTTTTAAATGAATTAAAGGCCTTGATGTTGGTTTTAGTGTGCGTTCCGAGAGATTCTGGGCTATCTGATATGTCTGGATACAGAGACGATGACAGCGTTGCAGAGGACCATCGCACCTGTTTTACGGCGCCTTCTCATTTTCGTCGGAGGCTATCTAACCCCAGGCTACGTTCCGATCAATAATGTGACCAACTTGAACCTGCCAGCGGTCACAGCGACAACGTCGGCGTTGGCGAGCGCTGCAGCGGTCGGTACATCCATCGATGCAGCGTCGGTGGCGGCTCTATCTGCGTCCTCTTCACCACCGCCCGATCACCACAGACGGGCCAACTTGGCTTTGGCCACTCTCGTGGAACTTGCCAAGGGTCAGGAGGGCGAAATGTCCATCGGAAGAGACACAAGCAATGGCAAGTCTTGTGATCTCCTTTTGGTCTAAATTGTTTTTCATCATTTGAATATCTGTTTTTATGGGGGTGGACAGCCCTCTAAAATTTGAAGTATTGGCTCTAGGGACGAGTCAAAGTCAATTCAGATCTTTCGCCCCTCATTTCGCTCGTTTTTTCATCGATTCTTTTGGTGCTTATTTATCATGTGGTCGGGGGGTGGGGGGGGGGGGGGGGGGGGGGGG